GCTTCAAAGCGAATTGACTAGATGTGTCTGTTTACAATAGGCTTGTTTCTTATGTTCCTTGCCTGAAATGTAAGGTGCAATGACTGACTGACTGAGTTTAGTTTTGTATGCGGCACCCAGCAATGTTACAAAAAGCAACATCACTGACAGGGGACACCAGAAATGAGGCTTCACACATTGTATTGCCAGTAGGGGATTGAACCGAGGTCTTCATTGACAGACCAGCCGCTTTAACCATTAGGCTACCCACCGCCCCAAGGTGCATTGAAATGTAAAGGGTATGATATGCATGTATACAAGAACATACATACAATGAATTTTTTGTGCATTTGGTAAATAACCCCTCAAGAAGTGAATTTGTTCATTTTGAATACATACTAGTCGTATCCATTATCATATTTGAGAGCATTAGAGATTTTCCCCATTAGCATGTTGAGACCATTAAAAGGGTGGGGCGCCTCATTTTGCATATTTAGCCAAGCACTAAGGGGACCTGCCCCATTAGCTATCTGAGACCATTAGGAGGAGACTTGTCATTAGCATCTTTGAGAGCACTGGGAATGCTCCAGTAGCATGTTGAGAGCATTTAATGATATTTGAGAGGCATTGAGGGACTCATCGAAGTTGGCAGAGGCTGGACTGATGACAGCCAGATCATGAGGGTCTGTGCATTGCCACCAAGGGAATCCTGAAACAGCAATGGGAGTTTCACTGTGTGGAATCTGGTTTCATGGCAATTCAGGTGTTCAGGTACTGGGATGCGAGGCGAGATTCACTAAACCTTTGACAGTATCCCAGATATAGCAAGGCAGCTTAATGTGGCTGGAATGCGGCAGTGATGCAGGCCTCTGAAGTTTTACCATATTGTCCCAAATCCAACAAGAATGGGCATAGTGCTTAGGGTTGGGTATTGCCAAATTTTGAAGTGATTAAGCGATATTTTGTGATATGTGTTGCGTGATTGCAATATGTATTGCAACATATTGTGAAAGTGTAGCACATGACTTAAGGTAATTAAATCGTTGTTTACTTTCTTTTGAAACAATGCCACTGGCCACTCAGATGTAATTACATGAGATGAATTGAAAATGTTCCCAAATTGAAGACTTTGCTCTATTAGTAGTTTGACTACATCCGCGAAAATTACCCGAGCGTATCGGGTGAACGGGTTGAAAGTGTACAACCAATACAGCCATTATTGTGAAGTTAAATTACCAATATACGGTTAACCCGGTATTATCAGCACCCTAATAGTGCTGCAGAAACATAATCAGGGGTGAACCCACAATGCGCTGGCTTTTGATGTGCCCAGGGGAACAACTCTTCCCAGCAAATCAAACCTAAAGACAAATCCAAGATGCAAGAACTCTCCACAGCTTCCTGTCAGAGGCTAACCGGCTACCTGGTGTGCTTAAAGGCATGTACAGAGGACATAGACAGTCATACACATAAATACCTTCAACAAGCGTGTAATCTTGGACTCCCGGTATGGAATGTGGGTGCTCTTCTTCTTCGGATCCCGAGGGGGCGCTGATGGACGTTCCCCAGTGACAGAAGTCCTGTATTGATGTGAATGGACTCTGGAAACAGAAACACGGACCCTACTCATGATAATCCTATTCAGATGATCTGCAAATATCCAGATCTTTTCTCTAAGAAAAGTAGACAAGAACTCCCATGGTGCAGAGTAAGTGTGAATGGGGTTTAATGCCACTTTGAAAAAAGGTTCTTGTTATATTAAGATAAACTGAGAGAGAAACAAATAAAGGATCACAGGGAAAATTCAAGCGTTCCTTTAATATTTTCCAGTTTTCATCACCAGTTTGAATAGCACTGTGGTGATGAAAGGCGGAAAAATAAAAGGAAACGCTGCTACCCTGTGATCCTAGGTTATTTCTCTCAGTATAATAATAATGATGCAAGAAAGGAAATATGCAGGTTTCAGATGTTTACTGAGGTGGTGGGGTAGCCTAGTGGTTAAAGCGTTCACTGGTCACGCCGAAGATCCGGGTTCGATTCCCCACATGGGTACAATGTATGAAGCCCATTTCTGGTGTCTCTCTGCTGATATAGCTGGAATATTGCTTAAAAGCAGCATAAAACCATACTCCCTCCCTCACTCATTTAGATGTTTATCACACTAGCAAAACCTAGAAACATAATTGGGGCATACTGGTATTTTGAACCCACAATATATGCTAGCTGATGAAACTCAGATGACTTGGAGGCGAGCAGCACCACTGAGCTAGAAAGCACCCTATTTGAAGCGCCATGCATGCAAGTTTCACATAAAAAGCAAACAGATTTTACCCTTGAAGCGGTCTCCAGCATTCCCGTTCTGTGTGCCCTTTCAGATCCTGCAAGGTCAACAAAGTGGAATTTCCCTGCCATCAGTGTGGCTCATGGATGGCTTCTGCAATGACAGGAGATGTACAGGAGAAACTGACTTATGGCTTGACCACTAGTGTTGGGAATTGGTTGAAATGTCACAATTGATGATTGCTTCATTACCAACGAACAATCATGGAAAAAAATTAGTCAGCGTCATTTTCAGATTTTCCTATCCAGGTTGTTATTGCAGATATGTATAACATGATGCAACTTGCTACTTTTAAAGTGATGATCTAATATATCATGAACATAAACTTCCTGGAGTCTACAAGAAATATTCAGTCATGACTTTTCAGTTAGTGAAGTGAGTTTTCTAAGAATTGGACAACGTTTTTCAGGCCCTGACAACTTCTAAGATATGTTCCATTGTCAAGTATTGCAAAGACTAAAACAGTAGTTCCAAAATCGTTTATGTTCGATTATGAGAAAGTGTGATCGATTGCTTGGTCGTTTGGTCACTGTGACCAATCTTCGATTATTTCAATTAATCGGAACACCACTAACGACCACATAAATCAGAAAAATATGCAGAAGCTGCTGCTTAGATTCTACATCTACGAACTCTCTATCATGCCTACCATCTTCCAGTATGTCACTGCTGTCGCTTGTATGCCGTGATAAGCCTTGATGCTAGAACATATCATCTTCGACACCACTTCTGACCTGGAAATGATTTAGGTTATCATTATCATAACATGGTGGGGTAGCCTGAGTGGTTAAAGCGTTATTCGCTCGTCCACGCCCGAGACCTGAGTTTGAATCCCACATGGGTACATTGTGTCAAGCTCATTTCTGGTGTCCCCTTGCCGTGATATTGCTGGAATATTGCTAAAAGCGGTAAAACCAAACTCACTCCACTCACTCACTATCATACCATTCATGGAAACATAAACTGCTTAAGTATTAATTACAACATCTTATCTCATGTCATTTGAAAGTATATTTACACTCACCTATATATGATATTCCACACACATTCACCACTGACAACCAATACAGACTCATCCATGACTATCAACGCACACATGGCGCTTCGAACATACTCACCCTTGACAATCAAAACAGAATAACTCAAGTCACTGACATTCGAATATACCCACCCTTGACAATCAACACAGAATAACTCAAGTCACTGACATTCCAAATATACTCATCCTTGACAATCAACACAAGAACAACTCAAGTCACTGACATTTCCAAATATACTCACCCTTGACAATCAACACAGAACAACTCAAGTCACTGACATTTCCAAATATACTCATCCTTGACAATCAACACCAGAACAACTCAAGTCACTGACATTCCAAATATACCCACCCTTGACACTCAACAGAGAATAACTCAAGTCACTGACATTCCAAATATACCCACCCTTGACACTCAACAGAGAATAACTCAAGTCACTGATATTCCAAATATAACGCCCATCCTTGACAATCAACACAGAACAACTCAAGTCACTGACATTCCAAATATATACTCACCCTTGACACTCAACACAGAACAACTCAAGTCACTGACATGTCCAAATATACTCATCCTTGACCAATCAACACAGAACAACTCAAGTCACTGACATTCCAAATATACCCACCCTTGACACTCAACACAGAACAACTCAAGTCACTGACATTTCAAATATACCCACCCTTGACACCTCAACACAGAACAACTCAAGTCACTGACATTCCAAATATACTCACCCTTGACAATCAACACAGAACAACTCAAGTCACTGACATTCCAAATATACTCCATCCTTGACAATCAACACAGAACAACTCAAGTCACTGACATTCCAAAATATACTCACCCATTGGACAATCAACACAGAATAACTCAAGTCACTGACATTCCAAATATACCCACCCTTGACAATCAACAGAGAATAACTCAAGACACTGACATTCCAAATATATATTCCACCCTTGACACTCAACATAGAACAACTCAAGTCACTGACATTCCAAATATACTCACCCTTGACGACAATCAACAGAGAACAACTCAAGTCACTGACATTCCAAATATACCCACCCTTGACAATCAACAGAGAATAACTCAAGACACTGACATTCCAAATATACCCACCCTTGACAATCAACACAGAACAACTCAAGTCATTGACATTCCAAATATACCCACCCTTGACACTCAACACCAGAACAACTCAAGTCACTGACATTCCAAATATACCTCACCCTTGACAATCAACACAGAATAACTCAAGTCACTGACATTTCCAAATATACCCACCCTTGACAATCAACAGAGAATAACTCAAGACACTGACATTCCAAATATGCTCATCCTTGACAATCAACACAGAACAACTCAAGTCACTGACATTCCAAATATACTCACCCTTGACAATCAGCGTAGGACAACTCAAGTCACTGACATTCCAAATATACTCACCCTTGACAATCAACACAGAACAACTCAAGACACTGACATTCCAAATATACTCACCCTTTGGACAATCAACAGGGAATAACTCAAGTCACTGACATTCCAAAATATACTCATCCTTGACAATCAACAGGGAATAACTCAAGACACTTGACATTCCAAATATACCACCCACCCTTGACACTCAACACAGAACAACTCAAGTCACTGACATTCCAAATATACCCACCCTTGACAATCAACACAGAATAACTCCAAGACACTGACATTCCAAATATACTCCACCCTTGACTGCCAACACAGAACAACTCAAGTCACTGACATTCCAAATATACCCACCCTTGACAATCAACAGAGAGAATAACTCAAGTCACTGACATTCCAAATATACCCACCCTTGACAATCAACACAGAATAACTCAAGTCACTGACATTCCAAATATACCCACCCTTGACAATCAACAGAGAATAACTCAAGACACTGACATTCCAAATATACTCATCCTTTGACAATCAACAACACAGAACAACCTAAGTCACTGACATTCCAAATATACTCACCCTTGACAATCGCGTAGGGACAACTCAAGTCACTGACATTCAAATATACTCACCCTTTGACAATCAACACAGAACAACTCAAGACACTGACATTCCAAATATACTCACCCTTGACAATCAACACAGAACAACTCAAGACACTGACATTCCAAATATACTCACCCTTTGACAATCAACACAGAATAACTCAAGTCACTGACATTCCAAATATACCCACCCTTTGACAATCAACACAGAACAACTCAAGTCACTGACATTCCAAATATACTCATCCTTTGACAATCAACACAGAATAACTCAAGACACTGACATTCCAAATATACCCACCCTTGACACTCAACACAGAACAACTCCAAGTCACTGACATTCCAAATATACCCACCCTTGACAATCAACGCAGAATAACTCAAGACACTGACATTCGAATATACCCACCCTTGACACTCAACACAGAACAACTCAAGTCACTGACATTCCAAATATACTCACCCTTGACAATCAACAGAGAATAACTCAAGTCACTGACATTCCAAATATACCCACCCTTGACAATCAACACAAGAATAACTCAAGTCACTGACATTCCAAATATACCCACCCTTGACAATCAACAGAGAATAACTCAAGACACTGACATTCCAAATATACTCATCCTTGATCAATCAACACAGAACAACTCAAGTCACTGACATTCCAAATATACTCACCCTTGACAATCAACGAGGGACAACTCAAGTCACTGACATTCCAAATATACTCACCCTTTGACAATCAACACAGAACAACTCAAGACACTGACATTCCAAATATACTCACCCTTGACAATCAACACAGAACAACTCAAGACACTGGACATTCCAAATATACTCACCCTTGACAATCAACACAGAATAACTCAAGTCACTGACATTCCAAATATACCCACCCTTGACAATCAACACAGAACAACTCAAGTCACTGACATTCCAAATATACCCACCCTTGACAAATCAACACAGAACAACTCAAGACACGACATTCCAATAATACTCACCCTTGGACAATCAACACAGAATAGCTCAAGACACTGGACGTTCCAAATATACTCATCCTTGACAATCGACAAAGAATAGCTCAAGACACTGAATCTAAAGCACCTGAGTCACCTTTCAGGTTTCTGGCCACAAACTTTAACCATGAAGCCCCACAGGTTCCCAAATTAAAACCCCTATTACAAGCCAACGAGCAACAGGGTGCTGAAGACATATTCTACTCCAGCTTCTCACTGGCATTACCAATAATGAAGCATATCAACTCACTGATAACAATGGTAAAGATGGAATGTGAGCGACTGGAATGTTCGTTCATCTGAGTGGAGCCTGTATGTCGGGCTGCTGATCCTGACTCTAGGAGGGACATGACATCATCCAGGGTCTCACACTCGACCTCCTTGACCCCGATAATCACTGTAACAGAGAAACCAATGCATACATCACACAACAGCTACAGGGAATCTTTACAACCAACTACATGTAAACGGGTGGAAATAACCCATTGCCCGACGCCCGAGTCCAATGTTTTTTCTGTCGGGCAAGCAAATTTATATATCACACTGTACCGGTGTCCAGTTGACTTTCCAATATTAATTATGTTGTTTATTTAAAAATCAACAAGAAAACGGACGGTATAGTGGAAAACTTATCAGGGCAAGTGATTTTACATGTGCCACTGTACCGGAGTACACTAGCAATTTTAAAGTTATTTCCACCCTGGTAAAGATTCATGAGAACTCAACATCATCCACACAACTGTAAATAGAGAAAGCGTAATAGATGAGGAGAGTGTGTTTACTTCCAATTGTAAATGTGCTGTTAAATGCCCAGCAATATTTATTCCATATTAGGAAGGCCTGCATATGTTACAGTCAGATTAGAAATCAGTCATTTCGTGAAATGAATAAGATGTCGCCAGTCTTTAGTCTTGTTATCGCTCATCCACACTGCCAGCATGTCTATTATGTCGCCATTTGCCCTTTCAACTGATCCTTGCCTTTGGAGATGGCGTGGCTTACCATGTACTCGTGCTAGTTCTGGCCAGGACGTGTTGAATTTCTTAAATAACATGAGGCGTAAACTCGGATACATTATCAGATTGGAGGATCACTGGGGCACCTATCGTCAAGAAAATGTCAACTAAATGGAGCGTTGTCAGTGGTCTCAATAGGCAAAACTTAGTCAAGGATCCTGATATACCATTATCCAGCGAAATGGGGACCCTCTTAGTCATTTCACGAAATGACAGATTTCACAATCTGACTGTAACATATATAACTGAATCTGTACCAAACAACCCAGTGACTGATATGATTGGCTTGTTATCATTGTCTGACATCAACCTCAACAATATTACAAGTATATGACAGCAGTGTGTAAAAAATCAAGTGTGGACCAGACAATCCAGTGATTGTCATCAAACCAAACACAATTTGACATGATGACATGCATACATGCATGAGTCAAGTTATTATGTGAGGCTTACTGAAGACCAATCTAACCTAGATTTTCAAAAGCTACGTTCCACAGTCAAAGTACAAAGGCATGTTATCAACTAGTCACCAAGTCTGATTAAAAGGTAGCCTCATTCATAGGTTTTGGGGGCTCAACTCAGGATCTATTAGGGTATATAGGATTCCAGATTAAATTATCTGGAAAAATACCCTGTCACATTGCATCTATTTTGTTTATAAGTTTAAGCATCATCATGAAGTCATGATGGAAGTCTTCGTCATCACATCATTTTGTTCTTTGTCACACAGCATTGCACATAGAGTACATGAACTTAAGATCATAGAAAGATCATGATTATTATTATTTTTATTATTATAGGATATTTATATAGCGCATATATCCATGCAACTAATGCATGCTCAAGGAATGGTATTTTTTTCCCTCGATCATTGGATGTCAATCTCAACGGCACATCATGTTATCAATCTCAACTCCCTGTGGAGTATACAACTCTTGCAGCCACAAGGCACACCGAGTTATTGTGGCTTTCTCATCCTAACGAGGATCATGAAGATTAAAAGCAGTATCTTCAAGGTTACATTGATAGAGCTTACATGGCATTTCTATAATATCACTGGTCCACAAGAAATAGAACAAAGTACAAGGTTCTCAGGCCTAAAGTGAGTTGATGAATGCTAGTTCTGCCTGACTCAGCAAAATCTCAGATATATGATAGCTTTTGTATGGTAAATATCAGGGTCTCAGTCAGACAGGGTATTTTCCTGTTCAACTGCAGAATCACCTTTAGAGTCTAGTCTAAAGAGGTAGCATATATCCCAGTAAGCGCACCTGTGTTGCCCTGGTCATCTTCTCGTGCGTGGAGATCTTTGCTGCACTTGTCTACATCGAGGAGATCCTGTAACTCCTCCTTGTAGATTTCAATGTAGGACACGCGGTGATAGAGAACTCCACTCCCTCATTGCTCTGAAACACAAACAGTAGTTGTACAGCTCATTCTGTGTAGTATTTCAGTTATTCCACATTGGGTCAGGCTAATATAAGGTTTAGCCTTCGTCATACATGTCACGGGTGGGGTGGGGGTGGGGGTGGGGGTGGGGGTGTTACTGGGAAATGTTGCTTACTCTACATTGAATCTAAAGTCTAGTAACATTAGCATACTGTAAGCGTATTATATATTTGGCGCGGGTTTTATTTTTGGCTTTTAAGCAAAACATTTTAGCGCGAAAATTTATACTACCGATGAATAAACCTGTCATTCATTCAGTCTAGCCACGCTTTCGCCCTGAGTTGTTACCATAACACATCAAGTTTGAAGACAGAAATCTACGGGAATCTTAAAATGACTGATAGTACCATAAAGAATCATACTTAACTGTAAGCTGTAATGTATTTCCCCAAACATAATTAAATAATGAGCCAAATTCCATTGCCGAATTAGCGAAAACAGCAATGTGTGTTGTGGCAGCCATGGAAATTGGTCACATGACAGATGGTTTGCTACAAAACAGATTACCATGAAGCGACTTCGGAAAGAAATAATACAGCAGTATTTTATTTATTCATTAAGATTTTATTTACCAGTACATCATGAAGCCGAATAGTCACTTAACACTCAATCATCTCATTCACAACAACCCGGCTTGTTTGAAATCACAAAGAGCTTCATATACAGTAGAAGTTAATTAAGTCAGATCGTCAGAATTCGGAACATAAGACTGATGTGTTTTCATCTCTTCCGTGAGTAAAGCGGATTACTGTGTACTAGTATATCGCACAGATAGGGATTTCCTGTGAGTATGCAATAGCGCCGCCTGACAGGTTAAGCCACTCTGTTTGTTTTCACTGCTATTAGTGGCGGCCAAAGAGACAGCTGGCAGTTCCGGCAATTACTGATTCTTGCTTGAATAATTGACCGTAGCGATGTAGTCTAAACTGTCAATTCAGCGAAAATTGCACCACCTTGAAAATAGAATGCGTTTACAGTACATCTAATGAAACAACTGACTTCAAGGTGTGATTGAGATCAACAAATTGTTTGATTTATTTACACAATTTGGATATGATGACATGCATGAATCAAGTCAGAAAGCCTGACCACTTGATCCTGATCGTTACTGATGACTGATTCTAACTAGGATCTTCACGGGGTGGACCATGAATAAATCACAGAGATATGCCATGGGAGTAGTCTTGTGACTGTACCTTCATAATGTCAAACATCTGGTTGATAGCCCGAGGTATAGTTCCGTATTCATCTTCTGTAATGGCCGAGATATTACATCCTCCAATAGTGAAGGTCTTCCCTGAGCCCTAGACAAACACAATATCACACATGGAGTAACATCACAGTCTATAAATATAGGCCCACAATTATATGGATTACATGTCCATATTGACATAAAAGCAGTTATGATGATTGTTACATGATAGTGTTTTTAAGTGAGTGAGTGAGTGAGTGAGTGAGTGAGTGAGTGAGTGAGTGAGTGAGTGAGTGGTGAGTGAGTGAGTGAGTGAGTGGAGTGAGTGAGTAACCGAGTGAGTTTTAGGCCACAGTAACCAATATTCCAGCTATATGGCGGCAGTCTGTTAATAATCAGGTCTCGACCAGACAATCCAATGATCAACATCATAAGCATCGATCTACGCGAATTGGGATAAGATGACAACCAAGTCAGCAAGCCTGACCAACCCGATCCCCGTTAGTTAGCCTCTTACACCAAGCATGGGTTACTGAAGATCGATCTAACCCAGATGTTCATGGGTGTTTGTAATTAAGGATGAAACCCTAGTGTCAAGCGTTAAAATTCAAATACAATAGTTGCAAATTTTAAACACCAAAGGAACTCTCTTATTTCTAATATCGCATCAATAATAGATTTGGGAATACTCCAGTTATAGCACTGCTTGCCGGCTTGTGGGAGGAAAAGCAAGGGAAGCAACTCTGCAAATGCACGCCATTGAGGACTGGGTCCATTGAGCTACTTAAAGAGAATACTGATAGCTCAAGGTCACACAAAAATAACTGTATGTCAAAACAAATTCTGCTATTTCCTCATGGTCACACCATGACTTTTAAATTCAAGAGTGAGTGAGTGAGTTTGGTTTCACGCGGCTTTTAGCAATATTCCAGCAATATCACGGAGGGACACCAGAAATGGACTTAACACATTGTACCCATGTGGGGAATCGAACCGGGTCTTCGGCAGCTTGGTGACATTTAACCACTAAGCTACCCCATCGCCCCTTTAAATCCCAGAGATAACCACACACACTGAAATCACTCTAGATGTTTGTATTACATGTATCATGAGTATTTGAATGTTATCACAGAAGAACTCAACATCAAAAGCATTACAATGCATCTAGCCACAATATTTTGCTTCCCAAATTGAAGAGACTATGATAACAATGCCTTCAACACTTACTGTTTGCCCATATGCGAAGACAGTTGCATTGTAGCCATCAAATATACTTCTTACTAGTGGGTCCACACATGTTTGGTATACATCCTCCTGAAACAGTCAAAAGCACAAAATCATGATTTAAGGGAAAGCATCTCCAAAGAAAATATTGAAAATTTTAACTATAAATTGTATATATATATATACTTATTCTATCTCTTGTACTCTCTCTCTTGAATTCGCCTGCTGAGTGAAAACGAACTGCAAATAAAAATCCTTGGACTCACTTGCCCATTATCCCGTGCGCTAAAAGCTGCCCACCTTTAAGGACGCCACGGTAATCTCCTGGGAAGCATGCAGCACGCAAGACCACCTGCTCACGTGACCAACATACCTTAAACATCCTTGTTCATGGAGCAACGTAAACAACCTGAGTAGTAATAGAGGGGGGGGTGTACTACAGCAGATGCGGCTTAGAGGCTTATTTGTGGGAATTAAGCCCCCCAGCCCCCTTAAAAAAATATTGAGAGCCATCCTTCGATGTGCAAGTTGAAATAAAAAAATAGCAAAAGCCCTCTGTGGCCACAACCCATGGAGGAAGAAATGGGTGTATTGACCAGAGACCCGCCTGGTCCCTGGTCTGATGATGTTTGTGAGTGGCGCTGGTATTTCTCCTGTTGGGTTGTGGTCAACTCGCGCCTCCCTGAGAGCTCCGTGTCTTTTTCCCGAGCGGTAGGCTTGAAACCTCGGTAACAGAGTTGCGCATCTCTGTACCTTGATCGTACCAAGCAGTGGATTGACTGAGCCACAGAGGACCTGGTAGCCAAGTGCTCGGTTGTAACAGGTCTATCCTTAGATTGCATCATCCTCATAAACCGGGCTCCATCCATAGTAGCGCAAAGGGTGTCTGAAAACCGTCATTCCACTTCCGCTTCAATACTTTGTGCATGTTTGGTGGCTTTTTCACCTCAAATCCATGTCTCATAAAATACAAACACGATGCCCATAGGTAGTTTGAAGAACGCTGAATATGATACATTAGTAGACAAAGCGCTGACAAAATTGTAGAGGCCACAATCCATTATTTATCTTGAGCTGGGCTCTGTCTATACTAGCTACAGTAGCGCCAGAACCAGTCTCGCTGCGCCTCGTGCAGGTTTGGTGTCTTTTCACCTCGAATCAAAGGTGTAATAAAATACAATCACGATGCTCTAAGGTAGTCTAGACCACTCTGATCACGATGTATGCGTCGATGGGCGCTGAAAACATGTTTAGAAGCCACAATCGGCTAATTTAGATCGGGTTACATAAGCTCGCAGTTAAAGCGTATGAGCTATATATAGCTTGAATGCACCGTCACTGACAGAGTGACAGGCTCAGACCAAGAGTTTTAGCGTTCGAATCCCAGACAGAACATTTTTCACCGCGGTCGTGAGGGACAATTTGTAATTCGCTCGGATCTAATCCCTACCGGTCCATCTTGCAAGTAATACAGATTCGGTTCGGCGTCTTTGATGTCCACTGGGTCCACGTGGTGCGTTTTCATGGACCATCACGAGGGTCTGTGGGCGACGCTTATCCCTCGCCCGAGTTCACCGGGCTGGTACAGATACCTCACGGACGACCGGTCGGTATTTTTCTCTTGGCGTGGACGCCATGGCAGCCGATTCGATCGTCCACGGATTTCATTCGAATGGCTTCGAATGGTCGATTGGTACGATTGGGTATGGAAATGTCAAACTTTCTTCGGGATGTATCGAGGGAGCGGCAGGTACACTTTCCAGATGGCTTGTTTTTAAGCCAAGCTTTGGCGGTATCCTCGGAGACACGAGCAGCTTTGGCTAGCCGGGGATGGCGCTCACACCTTTCCAGTAACCCCGAGGGCTGTAGTAAACCTTCTCCATGATGTATACACGCTATCGTTCAGTCAATTTCTCGGCGCGATCGAATGGAGTTCGAGACCCCCAACGTCAAGGCCTACTGTTGGTACCCATAGCTATAAGTGTGGATGCCATCGTTCGCAATCCATCGTTTGGTATCCAGGGCTTACAGCGACGTTTTGTTGAGAGTGATGCTGTAGATGTTGTGTTTGTCGCTTCTCAACAGCGTTTATGGGGTGTTTGAACATGCGTTTATCGAAGAGAGCCTGTTTGAAGAGGGTGTGTGTGATGTGGTGTTTCACCACGTATTTCTTGACCCCTTTTGCCTCTCGGATTTCGTGCGTGATCGGCTGTTTGAATCGAATACAGTTTAGGTCTTAACCGGACGTATTCGCGATGGGTGTCCCCCCGCGCATTCGTCCTTCACCTTGCCGAGGACCTTTTATTGGTCGTGCTGTGTAGGGCGTGGTCTTGGGGGTAATCGCTGGTGTCATACAGGTGCATGTGTTTCGCCATGTCCTCATTACGTGAGCAGTGATTCCGTGTTGGTACAGCACTTCACATTGATCGCCGTATTGATTTTTAACTTCGTTGTAGTAGAAATCGTACATGAGATGTTTGGAGAGGGCGAGAATGCTCATCCCCACGTAGGCGGTCGGTTGAGATTGATGTGGCTTTGTTCAGTGTGTAGCTGCCAAGTCGTTATCAAATAGCTTCCTCCGGTTGAAGGCCGGGCTGGCTATGAGTTTCCTGAGTTTTTCTTCCTGCGTGAGATCGAGCGTCACCTGTTTTCTCAAGTTTTCCATGGTTTTGCGAACACCAAATTGATCATCGTCCGTGAATCGCGATATGTCGAGCCACAGCTGCATTATCTTGATCATCAGGTACTCTCCTACCGATTAACGTAGAAGCGGAGACCGTGGTCCTTTGAAGATCCTGTTGATTTCCGTTGGCTTGATCGCCGGTAACTTCGTCCCACTGATGGTAAGCGTGCATGCCTTGGCTGAACAGCTGGTTGGCACGCCCTCGGCGATCACCTCGACTTTCGTGATCTCGGGGTTCCAATACTTTTCGTTGACCCTTCGAAATGGCGAAAATTCTTCCACTGGCAGGATCAAAATGCCCTTCATCGATCATCGGCGAATGCGTTCAGGTTGATGTTCCTGAAGCGATGTCGCTGTTATTAAGCAACCGCAGCGATCATACAGGATGGCTAACATGCCCGAATACTGGTTCGCGAATCTGTCGAGCCAATTCGGATTAAATCACCTTGTCCAACTCCAGCGAAATATTGTTGATGGTGTAGCGATCCTACTCACCTCTCCGTCATGATCACATGAGTGTAATCGTTAAACACGAAGTTCGGATTCTGCCTGCCTGTAGCCCAGCCGCTTGGTAAAACGGCATGTGACCCTCCAGCAACTCGAAGTCGGCGGGATGCAAAATCAGTTCCCGAACGCCTCGGCGTTTTAAGCCATCGCGGTGAGTTCGGCTTGGTTGAAACCGTACCCACGCCGCAACAGAGTCGATGGACACTCAGCCCGGTCAAATGCCTTGGTACTTCATGTTTTCCAGTTCGATTCGCGGTTCTCAAAGAGGTCCGTGCAGCTGAAGAACATGTCGCTGTCGTCAATACTCAAAATTTCGTTTCGGGCTGATTTTGATGGTCGTTTTCTTCACGATGGTGCGACCCAGGTTCCTCACGACTTCTCGCTTATCATCGTCAGTTCCAAACTGATCTGGAAGGACAGGCGAGCCGTCCCTGCAATGTTGACGCGTCGTTCTTGCCAAGGTTGGGAAAGCGAACCAACAGCGTTTGTTTTTCGTCGATCGTGCTTTCGGATTGTTGGTGATCTTCACGGATTGACGCGACGGCTTTGACCGCCAAGGGTTTTCTTAATTTTGGTAAGGATCGAGTTTTAGATCCGTATTGCGGCGCCATTTTTATATTAAAATATATAATATATGTTCAATAAATAAAAATCATGGCCCGGCGATATTCCCATGGGCGATTTTGGGGACGATAGAACCCCTTTCCTCGACGATGAGGAGACCTCGTCGCGCACAAGGAAACATGGGCGATGATCTGCTAAAATGACCGTCAATGATTATTATAATGCCCTGGAGCAAAAAAGAAAATATAGCTCCTCTTTATCGCGATCATTAAGGGATACTGCGAAGTTAAAGATGCTCCGGGCATCGATCTCATGCACTCCCGATGCGAAAACCTCTCGCTCTGTCCACACTGGCCAGTTGCCACGGTGCCGACTTTATCCGCGACAAATTAAATATAACCAGCTATCGACAAAAATAAGCAGGAAGTTCGACAAGGCTTTTACGAGAAGTGAATGCCGAGCTCGATGCCTTGGCGGTGCAGTCGGTCGAGATGATTTGAGAGACGCATACCACAGCGCCATTTTGGCGGTGTTGCTGATGTTCGACCGCTTCTCATGGTGACAGGCGTGGTGGTGATGGTTGAACGCTGGGCTCTGATGCTGGTGGCAGCGCCTTGATTCCCATTTCACCGGTATGCGTGGGTGGTGGGACTCAACTCACATTGACATCGGGATTGATGCCCAACTTTTGATCGGGCGGTCGCGATAACGATTTCAATGTTGTAGCCCACCACTTTGTGGATCCTCAGTCGCATGTCGCCGGAGCCATGTACAGTCCCACACGTAGTCGACTTTTCGACCGGGCGTATTTCAATGTGTCCTGGTGGTCGACATCCTGCAAAATCTCTCGGTGCAATCCACGCTGATCATCCAAGTCTACCTCGGCGAACCACGGGTTGGTAAGCGTTGAAATCGTCAAAGGCATCAAACTCCAGTCGATCCCAACAACACCAATACCACGCTTGCTCCGTTTATATGCGGGTGGCGTGGATGCCTTCACCAGTCAGCAGGGAGTCAACGTCACCGTGGAAAACCACGATATCGCTTCACGAAAATTTTCCTACACGATTACATACATCTGATGGGTTTGAAATGCGGCCGAAAAAATTATTCAAAAACCAATTAAAATTTCTTCTCTAATATAAACCATGACAAGCGTGACTCGCGATGACACCATCAAGGCGTTCTCCGATCTCAGGGACACGCTTTCGAGGATTCACTTTAACCCGTACAGAAAACGCTTTGTATACGCCCTGCACTTACAAAACAACGCGTGTACCAACGTCGAGAAGGCATCGTCGAATTGAACTGGATCATCAATATCGCCCCTAACTTACCCTATCTCGGTCATGGATCAGGATCGTAATATCCTCGAACTAAAACAATGAGATTCTACTGGGAAGTTTTATTTCGTTTCATAAAAAGGGAATATACGCATCACCATTACCAGATCAAAGCGGGTTATATGCTAGTCCCTCACTAGGAAGACACAACGAAATGGCTCTATTTAAAACTATATAGTGAAGTCCCAGACTCGTGGATCACTGTGATACCAGGTTCTACCCTCATTATCGACGTCATTCTTGGAAATGCCTCCGACAACGGGTGGGACTTCAGCTTGGGTTAAACATATGCTGGCACGACGCCATAAAATCAACGCTGTCATATTTATGTACAACTAGGAACAGCTTCCACCACAAGCCTCCCCGAGGAGTCGAGGTTGTTATTGGAGATACGCATCTTATAAGTGTAGACTTCATCTATATCCTTAGAAGGAGACTCCAAGTTCAAACCATTGGCTATCCAAGGTGTAACCTCTGAGTCGGGAAGAGGCGAAGTCTGGTTATTCATCAGTTATCTCCTGATCGGTAGAGCTATGCCTCCGAGAATCATCCTTCTGCTAGAACCTGTATCCCTTCTCAAACCTCTATCATCCTTTGGCGAAATGAAGATTCCTCCCTTCAGAATGTCTATCTTGAGAGTCCTCTCTTCTCGAACCTCTATCTGTAGATTCATCTCTTCGCGAACCTCTGTGGCGTGAGCCTACTCTTCGCTGAACCTCTGTCCTTAGATGTATCCCTTCAGCGAACCTCTGTGATGTGAGCCTTCTCTCCCGAACCTCTGTCTCGTGATGAGTGACTTCAATGAGCGTCTGTGAGAGATATGACATCTCGATCTAGAAGCGGCTAGGTGTAGGAGATGGATCCTTTTGATGTTCTCGAAAGTTGAGGGTTAGCAGATGTAGAGCGGTGAGTAGGCATCTCATGTCTTCTATCCTCCTCCAAGATGACAGAGTCGTCAGACTGTGGGAGACCATAAAGGTGTAATGCGTTAAGCCAGCGTAGTCTTGAGGCGTAGTTCTATGATCTTTGCTTATCTCCCTTTTCCTTTGCGAAGGGTAGTGGAACACTTGAAACCCTTGAAGTTCCTGAAGCGGACGTAAAATACACTCACCCACGAAGTTACCTCCCTTTCCCAGCGTAAACAGTCATGTGACCAGCCTTACTTGTCACTCTCTCCTGATTTTTCTGCCCAAGCACTTGGATCTGCTGTGCAATCCGAAGTGTTTCCAGCCGAGGGAGGTCGGGGAGGGCTTGATCGAGTGAGTCAGGATAAGTATAAAAAATTACATATTTTCTTATCCTGACTCATGATCTTTGCTTATAGAATCCGGCGGATTGGTGGTGGGCCAGGCCACTTCCTGGATTCATCAGCTGTCTTTAGATCGTCCTGTATCCCCATGGGAACTGCGTAGCGGTATTTCGAGATCCTATTCTTCCAACTTCCGTTTTAACTCAGGGGACCACTTCTTGTCTTACTTCCATCTCAGACAAGTTGAATCATCTTTATTCATGTGGCTTCAGATAAACTAGTATCTCCTTATTACTAGATATCTTATAACAACCCCACACAGGGTGGAAGCGCTGTCCACACGAAAAACACACCCCAAAGCAACTCCATTTCCTCGGTGGACAGTAAAAGGACATCACGTGGCAAAAGAGTAATGATTGGTAAGTTTTCCTCGCCTTTTTCCAATATTTTGCAAGTATATCAGGTTTTGCCAGTTGGCAGAAGGGTCTAATATAAATTGACAGATCTGTCTTTAATAGCTTGACACCCTCTATATTTATTGCAATTCGCGCGTTAAAGGTCACATGCAACATAAAACACAACTTTGCAGATTCTGATACCTTTTCGGTATGGACTTACCAAAACAAATCGTCAAAATGCAAATTCAACTTATAAAGTTGAAAAATACTTGCGATAAAAAAACGGCGCCAAAATCGGAGTTCAAAGCGTTTCACTAAATTTCCCCGACTTTTCTGGGGAAAAGCGGGTTTCAACAGCTGGGCTGCGCTCATAGCATGTGCGCAGTGAAATAGGTTCGGCGCAGCTTGGAGGCGGGTTGTCCGTGAATACCGGTGAAGGCTTTGGTGTGAGCTATTTTTCTAATGTTTTGTTGATATCTCACAGGCGCGAGCTTTTTATATGTTATGACAGTAAATTAACTGTTTATATAATTTCATTTGTCTATTTCACCACACGTTCTTCTTACCGAGTCACTTTCTCAGTTCGATACTTAAAAGCAATGTCATTATTTAGCGTTGACAGAATTTCTAACTGTGATATAGATATGTCGTTGTCACAGACAAAACTCAATGTCTTGTTTTATTGACACCTGTGTGTCTGCCTGCCTGTCTGCTAATGACAATATTCAATACACAACTGCTATCACTGACCACATGCAATTTGAACTTAACACCAATCAGGCTATACACCATAAACAAAATGCATTGATTTATGGCCCAAGTTAGGTCTCTGTCACATTATGTAATTACACAGACAGGCAGCTGTGATACTTGAACACATGACATGTTATGATGTCTGTTGATTGCAAAATGTTTTACACAAAAAATGAGCATGTATTTACAAAACCCAACATCTCTATATATACACACACAATGACCCGTGAGGGCATCTGCAAATGAACCAGCTGTTACACTTGAGTGCACACCCACCAGCTCTGACTGGGTTCGGTATCCCGGCTGCTTCGTTTCTTGGGAAGTAAACCGAAGTACACAATATTGCACTTTTGATTTGCAATTGTGCGCTTATAATTTTGTTTATATGTTTTTCATAACCAGCAATGTATATTATATGTCATGAATAAGTGATAATTGTGTTTTAATTATGTTTGATTTTTTGGCTGCATGTGACCTTTAAAGCGAGGGCACCCCTGAGTGAATGTCGAAACAAGATCGCGGAAAATGATCGTTTCAACACGAAAAATATGACATTCTTATCTGCAGACACGCCTTTTTGGCAGTCAATTCTTAGATATAGTTATTTTAGGTCTTCATTCACAGTTTTGACTTTAATGCATCACTAATTTTTCAATTATCGTCGAAAAATAAAACTGTACATTTTCATGGAGTTGTGTTGAAACTGTCCATTGCTTTGAATGTTTCACGTTGAAGTAACTGTCCATGTAGTTGCATGGATTTTAGAGCATTAACTGTCCATGGAGTTATATGACATTTACTCGGCCCCTCAGTAATTGAGGATATTTCGATTAGGTATAATGTGTTCATTTTCAGTGTAATCTACACAAAGGTAAAAATACATTTTATGACAACTTGTAAGGCATTGATACAAACAGTTTTATGCACTGTTCTATAAAGCGGTGTGTGCTTCAACATAGAAGCGTTGGATGTGAAACTGCCTCACAAGCTTTGATTCATCACGATATTCCTACTTAGTGGAGTATCAATTTCTAATTTGCTATTTATATACTATAGAGCGTAATCTACACACTTTACATATAGCTGGTGTGAGAATATGCTAAAAGTGTGAGACATTCTTCGAGAACACATTAGATAACGCTTTGTTCTGCTATAATTTGCTATGTAAGTCACCATGAGCTACCATCCCTCCCAACATCATATTGATCTAAGTCAACAACCACGTGATGATAGATGACAGGATTTCCCTGTTCTTATTTAGAATTAAGCCCAATCAGATCACAAGCAAATGTTCTCGCCTGTCGTCATTTGTATAAACTTGTTACATAAATACTGCCACATCCTTTGTTGATAGCAGAATAATGCATTTTGCAGGGATCATCATTTTGATTCATCTACACAAGTCAAAACATTGACTACACAACAGTCTCGTTTCCTGCTGACTGGGTTCCGTCCTATTAGCAACTTAGTACAATAACCAGTCAGGAATTTTGAGACCAACTCATTCAACTGGATATATAGATATTAATCAGGATTATTTGATACAGCTAATCACTTGTATATTGCAACAGTACGCTCCTTTTAAGCCTTGCAAACCGTGCTTTGTCGTACAAGCGTGCACTGACAAACAGAATTCTGGAAATCGTGGAAAACTCAAAGCGAGGGCTCGGCGCTAGAAAAGTTTGGCGGTCTGGTGAGTGTATTTTTACGTCCGCCGGGGAACTTCAAGGGATTCAAGTGTTCCACTACCATTCGCAAGGAAAAGGGAGATAAGCAAAAGATCATGAGTCAGGATAAGAAAAATTATTGTTTACTTTTGAAGGCATAATTGCATAACAATTTCACAATGTAGTTGTGATTTTTGGTTGTGTAGGATGCAGGTTTTACAGGTACTATGAATATCTGTAAGGAGTCCAGATGTTGAAACATTGCTCTCACCTGTGACGCCTTATGGTTGAAGACATGGTCAAATGTAAAGGCCCTGTCTTTGCCCACTATCAGCTGATTGGTGTTCGCGTGAGTACTTGAACACACATCTGATCTCCCCAAAGGCGTTCCTTAGGCAGCAGGGTCGAACCTGTGGTCACAAGGTGGAAAATCTATATTGCAAGACTGTAGGCAACGATGATCATAAAATGATAAAATCATTGTTTCCACTCTAAGCATAGTGAAGATGACAACATTGCAGACTTTAAAAATATTTTAAGATCAGGAGCAAACAGTTCAAGCAACATCATCAATCATTACTAATACTAGTAATTCATGTGATTGACAATACAATTATTTTATCATAGACAGACTCTACCATGTATATTAGGTTTCTGTCAATTATCGAGATTGAGCTGATTCTTAATTTCTAGCCATATAGCTTGGAATATTGCTGAGCGGCATAAAACTAAACTCACTCACTCACTTAATTTCTGATATAATGATAATGACTATAATTGACAACACCAAAATTGAACAATGTACTTACCCTAACAGCCACCACTAACGTTGACTTCTTGCATTTTGACACCAGCTGAAGAAAAACAACACAAGTCATACAACTTTCTTTCTACCATTTCCCTTCCTATGTTTATTGCATTTTACCAATAGTTTATGTCTAATAGTTGTTTAGCATTGGACTGGCTTAGAGCACTTGATTCACGGCGCAATCACTACTTCCTGATTATCTAGCATGCCAAGAGGATTAATTTGTGTGTTGGATTATGGGTGCTTGATTGGACTGCTCATACCCATGCTGGTTTAGACAGTGTTAATTACACTAAAAATTGCTTGTTGGGACTGGAAAGTCGTGCCAGAATACGGAATAGACAGGTGCTGGATTAGACAATGTTTTAATGATCATAATATCGTTGTAAAATGGCTGGACCAAACGTTTATGCCGGTTTTGACAGTGTGCCGGATTAGACAGGTGCCAGTGTTGGCAGGTTACACTGTATATCATTGTTTATTAGGCATATCAATCATAACAACACTGCTTTCATATAGCAAACATAAAACAATCACCACTTTGAAAACTATCACCTGTGGGGCTTCTTTTGCAATAAATTATTTACGTCTGTGATGAAAAAGAAGGACAGAAGTTTTATAGGAAGCATGAACATGACAAAGGGGTTGCTTCTGATTCTCATGCATTTACAGCATGGCAGTTGAAGCGTACAAATAGATGGACTTTACAAGATATTCTTGTCCTTCATTTCAATATTTTCCAGGTTTTAGCTACAGTTCTTGTGGTTATTCACACAAAAAACATCAAGACAGCTGGATTAAGTGGTTACTTTTGAGAACATATCATTTAGCTAGTGAAAACTGTGGAATTTCCACATACACTCACTACATCATATGATTCAACAGGGGACCCACAACTGGCATTTGTACAAATGCAATGTTGCCTTTTTGATGCTTACATATAGTGATGAGTGCTGCCAAATGACAATCAGACAGCATGATGATTCACGTCATTCTGCGGTACAAATACCTCAACCAACCATGCAAAGAATGAATGTAACACCGTAGTAATGAGATATACAACATAACAAACACTGAGCATGACAATTTACATTTTCAGTGTGGATGTAGCTCAGTCATTTAACTAACAACCAGTAGATGGTGGATTGTTGTCCAATGTATTCTCAGACAAACTGCTTACTTCTTTCTATGACACTTCCTTCAGCAGAGATTATCCTCAGCAGACTTGCTGAATACTGATGGTGCTCCGAATAATGAATATTTAGTACTGGGGTTTATACATTGTCAAGTTGTCACTCTACATGAAAACTGAACTATATTACATTTGCTGATTACATGTTGTGATTGTAGCATTATGCGTCTCTCCTCCCGTCCCTACAGCAGCCAACCCGTCATTATCTTAAGGATCAACAATGTTATGACATGTCCATATCATTTAGTGATCATTATGGTCTTTTCAAATTTTGATATATATATACATGTGTATAACCAAGTTGTGATGTTAGTTCTCGTATAACCATTGCTAACTACTCGTGTCAGCTGATATGACTGGAGTTACTACAATTTGAAGTTGACAAAACGGTAGGTTGGTGTCCAATGTATTCTCACACAAAATGGTTACTTCTTTCAATGACACTTTGTAATCATGATAATAGAGATAATCCTCCCAGACTCAAAGTGATTGGTGCTGAATTCCGAAGGTGCACTGAATAATGAATATTCGGTACTGGGATTCATACATTGTCGAGTTATCACTCTACATGAAAACTGAACTAGAGTACATTTGCTGATTACATTGCCTCCAAGTAACATGCTTTTTGCACCTGGGAGACGTTCTCCAAATTGTTATGATTGTAGCGTTATGCGTCTCTCCTCCCGTCCCAACAGCGGCCAACCACGTCATTATCTTAAGGATCAACAATGTTATGACATGTCCATATCATTTAGTGATCATTATGGTCTTTTCATATTTTGATATATGTGTATTACCAAGTTGTGATGTTAGTTCTCGTATAACCATTGCTAACTACTCGTGTCAACTGGTAATATTGGAGAACTCCAATATTAACTTTACTACAATTTGAAGTTGACAAAATGAGAAGAGAGCTGTTTGTCAAAGCTAAAACATCCTCTTACTCTAACAAAAATACGATTTCTACATCAAAGGCATTGACAGATTTATTATTAAGTTCATATCTTGTCCCAATCCTACCTGAGTTACGATGTAAACAACCTCACATTCTTTAGCCGGCGGCCATTTGCAAACATTCTGAATAAGTAGAGCTAAGTGTGAAATGACAATACGGTGTACAGCATAGCAAAAACTATTTTTTTGCATCAATGTTTATATATTCATAAATAATCCAAATTAAACTAACTTTAAAGTGATACATGTTATTCAGTAGTTTCTGATTCGAAAACAATACCGTAGCTTAGCATTTATTGAGACTCTTCTTCACTGAAGTTTGCAAAATTGGACTTCCGGTTATCTTTTGTGCGGTCGATTTTCGTATTTCTGACTAAGAATCAGGTAAATGTTATTTAATTACAGGACTGTGTCTGGGTGAGTTAAAGATGCCCAACGTAATGATATCCACAGACCGCAGTTGCATAACACTATTCAATTAAGTTGTATATTGTTTGAATAATTTAGAAGTAAATGACGAAGGATACGATTTACGGATAACCGCTCCTTGTCTGTTCCATAGAGCGGCGTATCCATATAGATAGTTTCACCGTGGACTCTAGGGTACAGCATAAAATTTTGTATGCTTTGCTGTATATTTGTAGAGCCTGTGCCGAAACCTTTCAGACATGACAACCCGGGATAGAGCTTCATGATACCCAAATGTAGTGCCATATGAATTACTATTTTGTAGGTGTTCATAAAATCAGACCTTGAGGACCTCATCACACCTCTTCAGTTTTGAAGTTTTTCAACATTATATGACTTTGCTGTTTCCAAATATTACAGTGATGGCCATGGAGAGATCAGATAGTCTGACAGTCATGAAGTCTCTGACAGCTGACTATGGTGAAGATTCTGATGAGGAGATACCATCAGCTGTAGACAACATCTCAGATGAAGAAACACAAGAACTTCTTGCCAAACAAGAGCCACGCCCATCTTCCTTACCAAATCTACAAAATGATAATTCCAACTCTAGTGTTCCTGAAAAACCACGCTTATAAAGCGGAGTAAGTACATGAAGTACATATGTAATCACAGATTTCTGTGTGATAACAGATTTTGCAGTGCAGAGTTGCTTCCCTTGGATATACACCAGAAACCTATGATTATGGGTTGGGGTCCCATTTTATTTGGATTATGTTTCTAGGTTTTTGCTCTACCCATGCACTTGGGTTGAAATTAACAAAGTGGTAAACATTTATGACCTGCACCATTTCAGGCTTTTCTTCTTGCATGAACGATGAAGCTGACAATGTGACATGCCACAATGTAACTGGATTACTATTAAAATCAGTTTCCTACCTTACTCGCTATGTTTATTGTTTATGGTCTTAAGACCAACTATCACTCATGGAACATCCTTGAATAACAATAGCCACTAGTCATGATTAGTGATGGGCATTATGGCTAATGATGCCTGTTTTGACAGATGATTGGATGTGAGAATTGGAGATAATTGTTCTCTTCATCCACCCCTTCTTCAGTCCATAGATACTTTATTCATTATTTTCCCTGCAGCCACTAAGCTAGTGTCCTATGGACCTGATGATCAGGAAGATGAAGAAAGTCAATCAGAAGAAGAAGTGGAGGAAGAAAGTTCGATCTTTTAGATATACAGGTATGTTTTGTACAAGAAGTTGGAAGGACATGTCTCAAGTACCATGTCAGAAAGAACTACAACGATAATAATAATCCACTTGTAAAGAACATTCAAAGTGTCCTCAAAGGGCTGCATTATTATTATTCCGAGAAAACCCATATCTCTAGAGATTCTGAACTAATGTTTTAAGGTAATAATGATAACCAGAATTGAATCTCAACATGTTAAAAGTTATTTGAATAATGAGATGTAAAATTGCAGAATTTATTGCAGAGACAAGAAAGCCCTAACTGAATTTCTGTAGCTTTTATTCTAAAAGTGAAAAATATCTGTAAGATTGCTCAAGGAAAGTGAAATGAAACTTACCCATTTGATCACTTTGGTTTTAAACTTATGTTGTTATGCTAATACATTTATCATGTTTATGGGAGTCAGTTTGACATGTTGAAGGAGTAATTTTCTCTTTCTTTCAGAAAACTGATATTGAGGAAAAGGTTTTAGATACTCAAGATGCCTGTAAGTACTGTTTCATCCATATACTGTATCAACAAATGTAAATTGCTCCTTATCCTGACTAGGGATGAGTATTGGAGGTTCAAAGTGTATCACAATATATTGTGATATTCAAGGCTATGTTGCGATATGTATCACAATGTATTGCAAAGTTCCAAATTTCAAAGCCAGTTGCCCAGTCACCCGTGTTTCACAAATTTACTGTGCAGAGTTATGTCCCTTTGGCATGCCAGAAATCTGTGATCATTGGTTTCAATCGTGATTTGCAGGTTTTCCTCTGTTTTCCTTCAAGTACCCCAGTACCCTTAATTTCCAATCTTGTTTGATATTACTGGACATACCTATATTTCATGTTGTGAAAGGGGCACAAGTAGCCCAGTCGTCTAAGCTTCAGCAATTGGCTGAGTTGTGTTCCTTTGGCACATCAGAGACATACGATCGTGGGATTGAATTCCTGTTTGTCCGTTCTCGTGGATATCGCCAAAGGGATAAAGATCTGAGACCTGCATCACTTTGGGTTGGGCTACTGTTATAGGCAGTGTTGAAGCCAACTCCTTACTCTTTGTAATTGATGAAAATGTCACATCGTTATCTAGTAATAATACTCTTTACATGTGGACTACAGGAAGAAAGTATTGACTTATTGAATGCTGTTCTTGCAGCTGCTCTGTCACGGAAAGTCCGGAACATGTCAGCAGAAGAAATACAAATCCCTCCAGAACCTGTAGGACGATGCTCAAAAGAATTACAAGTTTGTGTGACATTTACATATTTTGTCTTAGCATACTTAGTTACTTGTACTGTATGTTTTATCATGTCATACAAAAGGGTATAAATACAGTGGAAACAGCTTCTAAGTAAAGACTGCTTAACTACACACAGACCTGATAAGTAAACACTTTTCTTTGGTCCCGCAAATTTCTTCATTAATTATCACTATTAGAGTCCGGTTAACTAAACTCGGATAAGTAAAAACAATACCGCTTAACTAAGCGTCTTCTCACGGTCCATGGAAGTACATTACCTAACAAAGAGACTGGATAACTAAATTAGCGATCACCACATAATCCAACATGAGGGGCAGTCGTGTCAGTCTCCAGTCAAACAAACACCCTATTTACAGCTCGCTGGCGTCAAGCAGTTGACAATACACTGCCAGCCCTGATAAGTTGTTCATTGTTACATATGCATACATATACATTCATATGGTTGTCGTTTGCAGGTTTTATAAGTTTGGATAAGTAAAATACCTGATAAGTAAACAATTTTGGCGAGTCCCTTGAAATTTTACTTATCAGGTTTCCACTGTATATAGAGACAGGGCCCCTTGATTATCTCGCGTGAGGTGTATTAACTGAGGATGTGATTGTTGTGCAATGTGTACCCAAGTTAACTGATCACATAAGCCTTTTATAAAAGTTCTTCACTAGCTCACTGTTGCTGCAAGACCAGATTCTTGTATATATATTTTTTTTTTAACCAAGACCAGGACTAGCACCAGCCTATCTTTCAGGAATTTAGTTAGAGTAGGTAGTTTGTTATCGAAAGATCTGCTGGTCAACCTAAGAAGAATTCAAGATGTATGTTACGATCAGAACTTAAGGCTCACATGTTCACTGGAGCATATTTGAAGACTCTCTGTTTTACATCCAGTGTTGTTATAAAGGGCAGCACTTTCACTCCAATGTTTTGTTCTTATGACAACAATGTCATTTTCAGGAAAAGATTGCTCGAAACTATGATCGCATGTTGAAGAGTGGCTACAGCAACAATGTGATGATTCAACAGAGAAAAGATTTTAGAAATCCAAGGTGAATAGCTTTACTTTATTCTCAACTAAACGGGTGCAAAGGAAATATTAATGGCTTTCAATCAAACAGTACACAGTTTGTGTACTATCAGAAGTTTCTTTTTCAAGATCCATTGTTTAACTGATGATGAAAATACCCATTTGTGGTCCCTATTGTTTTATATGATGAAATACATCATCTTCATTCATCTAAGGGGCGATGGGTTAGCCTAGTGGTTAAAGTGTTCTGCTTGTCACGCCGAAGACCAGTGTTTGATTCCCCATATGGGTACAATGTGTGAAGCCCATTTCTGGTGTCCCTTGCCGTGATATTGCTGGAATATTGATGAAAGTGGCGTAATACCCAACTCACACACTCATTCATCTAAATTATTGCATGTTTTAGCAACTGTACTCTTGTGGCAATATAGATATACATAAGGGGAATTCCATGTAATTAATGTATCATACAGAACTCGTATTGACTGTTTTGATAATTCCTTTGCATGATCACATCAGGACAGACTTGTTCTATTTCTGAAGGAATTTTGTTGTTAACTTTGAATCTATGGAACGAATGAATATGAACTGTTGAAACTGATGCATGTTGTTTTTTTGTTTCAGTATATATATGAAAAGTTAATAGAGTTTTTGCACATAGAAGGAACAAAGGAACAAACTTTCCTCCTTGTTACCCTTTGTATCTAGTTCACGGCTGGACATTGAGAGACGAGGAAAACTAGTAGTTTCTCCCAGTTTAGTCTTTTCATGTAATCCTCTGTCCTATGAAGATCAGGGTTACACTTGATCTGAAAACTCATGCTTGTCATAAGAGGCTGACTGTTTGGATCAGGTATTCAGGCTCGCTGACTTGGTTGGTTCATGTCATTGTATCCCAGTTGCATTGTTTGAGGTCCCTGATGTCAATCACTTGATTGTCTGGTCCAGACAGATCACCATCATATAGCTGGAATATTGCCAAGTCTGGCATTAGGCAACATACATAATCCACTAGTCCATGTTGTGCCCCTACGTTACATGTATGGGAATGATTAATCTCCGTTGTCATAGCAATCATAGAAGCAAGGCAAGTAAATGGTATTGCCTATTTAATCTCATGTCATTTATGAAGATACAGTACCTCTCTGTGTGAAGATCTGATAACACCTCTTGCTGTGAAGATCTGACAACACCTTTGTGTGAAGATCTGACAACACCCTTCATTGTGAAGATCTGACAACACCCTTCAGTGTAAAGATCTGACAACACCTTTGTGTGAAGATCTGACAACTCCTGTCTATGTGTGAAGATCTGACATCACTTCTCTTTGTGAAGATCTGACAACACCTCTCTGAAGATCTGACAACACCTCTGTAAAGATCTGACAACACCTCTCTGTGTCAAGATCTGACAACACCTCTCTGAAGATCTGACAACACCCATGTGTCAAGATCTGACAACACCTCTCTGTGTCAAGATCAGACAACACCTCTCTATGTCAAGATCAGACAACACTCTCGAAGATCTGAAGATCTGACAGATCTGACATCACCTCTCTGTGTCAAGATCTGACAACACCTCTCTGAAGATCTGACAACACCCATGTGTCAAGATCTGACAACACCTCTCTGTGTCAAGATCAGACAACACCTCTCGGTCAAGATCAGACAACACCTCTATGTGAAGATCTGACGACAGCTCTCTGAAGATCTGACAACACCTCTCTCTGTGTCAGATCTAACAACACCCCTCTGTGTCAAGATCTGACAACACCCCTCTGTGTCAAGATCTAACAACAGCCCTCTGTGTCAAGATCTGACAACACCTCTCTATGTCAAGATCTGACAACCCCTCTCTGTGAAGATCTGACAACACCTCTCTATGTCAAGATCTGACAACACCTCTCTGTGTCAATATCAGACAACACTTCTTTGCATGAAGATCTGACAACACCTCTTATTGTGAAGATCTGACAACAACACTGTGTGAAGATCTGACAACACCTCTCTGTGTCAAGATCTGACAACACTCCTCTGTGTCAAGATCTGGCATCGCCTCTCTGTGTCAAGATCTGACAACACCTCTGTGTCAAGATCTGACAACACCCCTCATTGTGAAGATCTGACAGCAACACTGTGTGAAGATCTGACAACACCTCTGTGTCAAGATCTGACAACACCCCTGTGTCAAGATCTGGCAACACCTCTGTGTCAAGATCTGACAACCCTCTCCCCTCTGTGTGAAGATCTGACAACCCCTCTGTGTCAAGATCTGGCAACACCTCTGTGTCAAGATCTAACAACCCCTCTGTGTGTCAAGATCTGACAACGCCCCTCTCCTCTCTGTGTCAAGATCTGACAACCCCCCTGTGTGTCAAGATCTGACAACACCTCTGTGTCAAGATCTGACAACCCCCCTGTGTGTCAAGATCTGACAACGGCCTCTCCCCTCTGTGTCAAGATCTGACAACACCCCTGTGTCAAGATCTAACAACCCCTCTGTGTGTCAAGATCTGACAACGCCCCTTGCCCCTCTGTGTCAAGATCTGACAACACCTCTGTGTCAAGATCTAACAACCCCTCTGTGTGTCAAGATCTGACAACGCCCCTCTCCCCTCTGTGTCAAGATCTGACAACACCCCTGTGTCAAGATCTGGCAACACCTCTGTGTCAAGATCTAACAACCCCTCTGTGTGTCAAGATCTGACAGCGCCCCCTCTCCCTCTGTGTCAAGATCTGACAACACCCTGTGTCAAGATCTGGCAACACCTCTGTGTCAAGATCTGACAACCCTCTCCCCTCTGTGTGTCAAGATCAGTCATGCCCATTACTTATATTGGGAGGGTCATGTCCACTCAGGATATTTTCTGACAAAACCTTGAAAACCTTCCATCTATGGAGGTGTTTTTCAGATCTCTACTTGAGAGGTATTGTATTAGTTTGATAGGCGTGATAGATCTCATTTTATAATATTGACCTCACATTGCTAGGTTTGTTGTAACTCATGTTGTTTTGTCAAAGTTTGCTGTATGATACATGAAATAAGTTTGTTTTTGGGGTTTTTCAGGATATCTTTAATCCTCAAATGTGGACTAAAGAATCATTTTATGACGAATTAGGTAAGTTGTTTTAAGGAAGCATGGATAGTTAAATAAATGGCATCATGACATGACTTTGGGGAAGAACAGAGAACAATTCAGTCATGTAATGATCCTGCTGGCTGATGTTCCTCATTGTGTCTGTTGTACTGCTGAATGGTCAACACCCTTTCCAGAGCTATAACATGGGCTTGTACTGTTGTCAGTTAACCAGCTTTCCTGAACTGTGATTTTGGAAAACTGGTTTATACAGTGCCTCCCCTCACCATGGTTTGACAGAAATGTTGTTGGAAGCAGTGTTAAACCCACCTCATTCTCACTCATTCACTGCTCCCACACATCAGTGAACGGTACTTGAAACCAGCAGTAAAGCCACGTCCCTCTCACTCATTCAGTGCTCCCACACATCCTGGTATGAGTGAACTGTACTTGAAACCAGCGGTAAAGCCCGTCCCTCTCACTCATTCAGTGCTCCCACACATCCTGGTATGAGTGAACTGTACTTGAAACCAGCGGTAAAGCCCGTCCCCCTCTCACTCATTCAGTGCTCCCACACATCCTGGTATGAGTGAACTGTACTGAAACCAGCGGTAAAGCCCGTCCCTCTCACTCATTCAGTGCTCCCACACATCCTGGTATGAGTGAACTGTACTTGAAACCAGCGGTAAAGCCACGTCCCTCTCACTCATTCAGTGCTCCCACACATCCTGGTATGTATGAGTGAACTGTGTACTCTTGAAACCAACCCAGGTAAAGCCATGTCCCTCTCACTCATTCAGTACTCCCACACATCCTGGTATGAGTGAACTGTACTTGAAAACCAGCAGTAAAGCCATGTCCCTCTCACTCATTCACTGCTCCCACACATCCTGGTATGAGTGAACTGTACTTGAAACCAGCAGTAAAGCCACGTCCCTCTCACTCATTCACTGCTACCACACATCCTGGTATGAGTGAACTGTACTTGAAACCAGCAGTAAAGCCACGTCCCTCTCACTCATTCAGTACTCCCACACATCCTGGTAAGAAAGCAGCCGTATAGCCACGTCCCTCTCACTCATTCAGTACTCCCACACATCCTGGTAAGAAAGTGGTTTTAAAGCCCCTGACTCTGTCTGCTTCAGATAAAACCAGAAGAAGGAGATGGAAGCGGAGAAGGAGGCGGAAGGACAGAACCAAGGTACCTGTAATGTCGATTTCCATTTACTTCTTTTACCACATGGACATATGTCCAGTCAGTAACCAGGGTCCACTTTCACAAAGCAATCTTAGCATTGCAGCTTAAGCTAACTTATCTTACTGACAATGGTATAGGGATCTACACTGAAATGATGCAATGAAACAGTTGTTATTCATAAATTCTGTCCACTTTGTCATCCTTCGTCTTCTACAAAATGCCAAGTTACAACAGCCATTGTGCTAAGATTACTGTAAACAGGACCCTGGACTACTCATACTAAAGACATTGCAGATTCTAATTTCTTTTAATTCATAAGATTAACAAAACATCTGAATCATCTACCCCTCCCCTGCTTTGAAAATCACGGATCCACTGCCATTAATATATTCAGGCTCTGTGGTGTGGCTGGAATATTGCTTACTAAGGCATAAAATGCAGTTCACTTACACAAGGGAATAAATGTGACTAGCCTAGGTGACTGATGATCCCTAAATGCTTTTCCATATTGAGAACCCAATTTATTTATAATATATATGTGTATATTATTGCATACATGATAAATTGACTTAGCGTGTTTCTGTGTTTTTGTGTAAGATAGTTTTCAAATTTGTTGTTTGGGTATTATTAATGACAAAGTTTTGGAAGTGCATAATGCTAAATATGACCCAGTGTATAAACAATTTGTTTCTGTCTCAACCATTGCTATTTCAGATTGATTTCATTGTTGGTTCGAAGAAGGTCTCTTCCTCCAGTGATGGTTCAGCACCTGGTAGGTATAAATGGAATTGTCTTGTGAGCTGTAGTATGAAACAGCTGAAATGGTCTGACATTGTGAAACTCAATCACACACACTCATTTACTGCTGTCTCTCACTCACACACTCATTTCATCAGACCCCTAACTCTTCTGGCTCACTCTCTTCTGACTCACTTAATCTTTTGACTCACTCTTCTGACACAATCTTCTGACTCACTCACTCTTCTGACTCACTTACTCTTCTGACTCACTTACTCTTCTGACTCACACACTGACTCTTCTGACTCACTCTTCTGACTCACACACTCACTCTTCTGACTCACTCACTCTTCTGACTCACTCACTCTTCTGACTCACTCTCTTCTGACTCATTCACTCACTCTTGTGACTCACTTACTCTTCTGACTCACTCTCTTCTGGCTCCTCTCTTCTGACTCATTCACTCCTCTTCTGACTCACTCTCTTCTGACTCATTCACTCACTCTTCTGACTCATTCACTTACTCTTGTGACTCACTCACTTACTCTTCTGACTCCTCCTCTTCTGACTAACTCTCTTCTGACTCACTCCTCTTACTCTTCTGACTCATTCTCTTCCTCGACTCACTCCACTGACTACTCTTCTGGCTCACTCTCTTCTGACTCACTCACTCTTCTGGCTCACTCTCTTCTGACTCACTCACTTACTCTTCTGACTCACTCTCTTCTGACTCACTCACTTACTCTTCTGGCTCACTCTCTTCTGGCTCACTCTCTTCTGACTCATTCACTCTCACTCATAAGTGCAATTATCTTGACACATCACTATGTAATAGTGTTGGGAATAGGTTAAAAACATCATAATTGATGATTGCTTCATTACACCCGATCAGTCGCCGAAAAATAATGGTGGTGAGCGCCAATTATGAAATTTTCCTTTTTTTTTCTTTTTTTAGTTAAAGAACAACTAAACTTTGTTTTGTTACTCTTTTAACCATTACATATGAAAGATTTGTGGTTAGTCTTATCTTACGGAACACCAAATTTATTCTTTAAAACTTGTGGTTAATTAATACTGGAGCGATTAAAAGTGGCCAAAAGTAAGCCTGCTTCCTCTCGCCAACCAGCGAAACCACAGACAGGTTACGTAACTCTGTTGCCAGAGCACTGCAGTGGCGTCATATGAGGAGAGCGATTTTCAGTTAGTTGTATAGAAAATGTGTAGCACGCTCATCATTTTGATGATTTCGACATCAACGGCGACATGCCGAATCGTTGCTTTGTCGTCCAATTGCTCCTAGGGGTCGGGCGATGGTGTCCCCATGCACAGATTTCCACAGGACCCGCGCAGTTCGTGCTAAATGGGTTATGTTTGTGAGAGCGAGGGAGTTGTGGAAGCCTGAAACGATATCTTACTTGTGTTCAGATAGCTTCACGCGGAAGTTAAAGAATCAAAACTACTTACTAGTTGTAGTAAAATATGTATATGATTGATGACCATAAAGATTTTCTATGACACAACTTGTAACATAACGATTTCTTCCTCGGAAGTAAGGTTGTGGTCAAGTAACAATAATATTGTAAGTAGTATTATATTGACACCCACCTCGCTGCCAGGAGAGAAATTGTTATGATATCACGGCTATGTCATGCAAAATCCTATTGGCCATCAATAAAATACATATTTTCCTTATCCTGACTCATGCTCTTTTGCTTGTCTTCTTCTTCTTGCGAACATAGTGGAAACACTTGTATCTCCTTAATTGAAGCTCCCTTCAATGTAAAATCACTAATTAGTACTCACCACGAGTTGCTCCCCTTTAATCCCTTTTGGCGGGAAGGTGTCAGCCACCTTCACACCTCATGCTTCACTCTCTCCTTCTTCACCCAGTGAGCAGGATGTGAGAGCCTGTGTCTCCTTTACACAACATATCCTTTGATTTTCTTAGTTTATTACCTCTTATAGTGTACTATAGAGGTATAGCTAGTATCCTTCAGTAATTTGTATTGATTATTTATCGTATTTCTACTGTTTATTCCGTGTATTAAGTGATTGTTCAGCTAGTATTGCGTGCGATGAAAATCTGTACTATTTGTAGATTACGCTTTTTCTGCCTCAGATCCATGTAATATGCCCTAGTTGTTCCTCATGCCGTGCGTTTGATTCACGTTGCAGTTATTGCATTTAATTTATCTAATTCTGCATTTTAATAAATACTATCTTTGCGTCTTAAGGCGTGCTGCAGATAGGTCACGCAAAACAAGGGCTAAATATGGCTGATACTCCAGATACTCCATCTAGTCAGCTGCTGGCGATCGAGCCCCCTACCGTCTGGTGTTCTGTTAGAGACCCCATCGGAAGAGGGGCGTGGGGCGCCAGTCCATCACCTCTAAGAAGTTTAACCGGCCTCCCCAGACATCCGATCGCCATCGCGAGCTAAAGTCCAAGAGGGGCCTCGGCGTCTTCTCAAGCGCAGACCCATTACCCCCAGGGCAGCGTCGACATCAAAGGGAAGTCTACGAAGACAGCGAGAACTTTCAGCCGAGATCGTTCCAGCCGAAGAAATGGGCCTCTCACGATGACCAGCCCGATTATCATCCCGACATACGGCACAAGAAGGCGGTGTCAGCGACAGTGACTTCAGTAGAGATCTCCATGCAGCCTGATGCCTCTACACTGATGTCAGGCGTTATTGCTGTGGACCCCATCATTAACACCGCGAGAGAAGGCTCTTCAGACAACATCGCCGCAGACCATCCCTGATGACCTGATGCAGCAAATTATGACGATGATGGAAGACCCGATATAGACTGCAGAAGCAAGGACCGAGCCTTTCGAAGGCTCCAGCGTGAGACAACACCCAGAGGCACCCCCGTCAGCGTAGCAGCCAAGGCGATGTCACCTTCGAAGGAAGGCGCGGACCACCTCCACGAAGGACCTAGATGTACAGCCTTCGCGAGAGGCCTTCCAGCGAAGGCAGGAATAAGATCATCACCCTCGTCACCTTCATCCCAAGATGTGGACTCGGACCATCAGACATCCACGAAGAAAGCCTTGGCGAAGGTCTTATAAAGTAATTCCCCAGACGGACATGCAGAGGAAGCTTGGCGAGAGGCGTTATGAAGGGCAGCTGAATCAGATCTTCATCATCTAGAAGGAGGACAGCAGGGGACTACACAAGAGCTTCAGAAGCTATCAGCGTTCTCCTCACGGGTCACCCGAGGAAGATCAACTCATAGGCGTAGATCACCTAGGCGATCTCCTCCCTCGTTCATCACCCATTAGATCACCTTTACAAGGTCACCATACAGAGCTGCACAAGCATCGCCGGGACGGTAGAGACAAAGCACGCGGTCAGAACAGCACCAACCTCTCATCAATGATGATGGTATAAGAAGAGGATGATGGAGGAGTTATTTTCTCCGATGCTGAGATCACGGTATTGGATGGTCAATAACCTAGATCTCTCATCACCATCTAAAATGGCAATGTAGGCAGACATATCTGATGAAAGAAGGCGATGCAGATGCTATCACACTACCACCCGATCGATCCCGATTGCAGCAGTTCCACAGAATCTAGATGCAGCAGCATTCCACAAAGCCACGAAAGTTCAGACACCACATCTACCAAACTTTCATGCCAAGAAGTTCTCCCACGCATAACATTGACCCTTCTTCAAAGCTCAAGACGCCGATGAGAACTATAAGTTGATCAGCGATGTCAAAGTACAAAAATTACAAGATTGATGATCGCCTTAAGTTAGTCCAGATAGAAACCATGGCCGAGGCGGTATGTTTTTGGTTTAAATAGATCTAGAAGCGATCAATGAGGACTCTTATCCACCAGATTTAGTGATCGACTTCTGAGGATGATAGAATGATTTATTCTGCCTTACTTATGCAAAGAAAGACCAGCAGTTCCTAACAAGATCACTGGAGTCTTCCACCCCAGCTGTTCCAGTACAACCATCTCAAAGTGGGTGGGCGCCTCCAACTTTACTGGGAAAACTGGGGAATGTTACCAAGACCCTTATGTCTCCAACATTCCTCGTCCAGCGGATTTAAGTATCCCACTAAAGGCCAAGCCTCCGCTGACAGTCAACCCTCACAAGTTCGAACTTACAGGCACAACAACTACCGAAGTTAAGAGAGGCTGTTACATCACTCTTAATAAAGCAGGCCATAGAAGTACTAGACCAAGACAACATAGAACCAGGTTTTCTACTCCCCAGTTTTCCTAGTTCCCAAGAGAAAACTCCAAGGAGAAATACAGACTCATCTACAACATGTGCTTTTTCAACAAAGAACTATCTCGCAAACCTCGAGTTCCGCATGATACATTTTACCTCAGATTCACGGCGAGTTGATTAGCCCCATGGACTACATGGGCAGTATCGATCTACAGGGCCGCTTACCTGCACATCGATACACTCCAAAGCCAGGAAATACCTACGGTTTGCTTTAGGCGGGCAGCATTACCAGTGGAAAGTGCTCCCATTAGGAATATCATCAGCCCCTGGCTTTTCCGCGAGGATATGAAAGCCGATTATCACCTATCTTCATCATCAGGAATTTCTCGCGGTCGTTTTACCTCGACGACGACGGGATACAAGTAGATCAAGATCCACAGCATCTCAAACTACAGTTAAACTACATCATAAAGCTACTAACACAGCTAGGATGGTTAGTAAGAAAACTTACTCAAGTCGGACCTAGTACCGTCCACAAGACCTACAGTTCCTAGGCATTCGATTTATCACAAAATCTCAACCGTATAAATAGGTACCAGAAGACCGTTGGATCAAGATCCAACAGACCATTCCACCAGCTCTACTCTCTCGTTACCACCCGACAATGGCAGAGCCTCCTGGAGGTCTCCTCACATCAGCCCAAGAGACGCGACCAGTCAGAGGCAGGTTACAGATTCGTCCCTTACAGGTCTTCATCAATGCACATCTCGGCGATTTACAGCCATTCAGTCTACCCGAAACATCTCAGACCTCATCTACTATGGTGGACAAAGAAATCGAAT